TCACGATCGCATGACATTGATATTGGGCTATGCGCGGTGTCACTTCGTTTTTGTCGACCGACTTCGTTGGATTGAGCTCAATATTTATTCACATTTAAGTACTCAAGTGTTACAGAGTTCGAAGTAAAGATCAATGTGTTATTTTTTTTATTTGGCTTGGCAAATTATATCTTCAGCTTTCTCTTTTCGCTGTGCTAAGCGTCCGCTTCGCAACGAGTGATCTTCAAAACTGAAACTGAAATCACAAGCCCCAACCGAAACGCCCCAAGCACGATCCGATCGGAGCTTTTACGCCGGAGAGAAAGAGAGGGCCAAGCATATATAGAGTGAGAAAGTGGTAGGGCGGGGGGCTCTGAGAAAATCGGAGAGTGAAAGAGTAGTAGAGCGATCGGTCTGAGCTGGAATTAGTTTGCGACCCGACGACGACAATTTCCTCAAGCGCAACGCCAATCTATTAGGAAACTTTGATGCTCCACTCCCCATAATTCCCCCATTTCCCCACGCAATCTCATCGTATCGTCGTCGTTGGGGGAAAAACCATCGTGTGCTTTCGTATCTCCACGATAAAAAGTAATACTTTAGTATTATTGGCACGTTCTGCGGCACTGGGAGTCATTTTATTCCGTTTATTGTGCCCTCTTGCATTGCCCTTAATTGCTTAATGAGATACTTTTTACGGCTCAAACCGTCCATTGTCGAGCAATTTGGGCATCGTAAAGATCTTGTATTTAGCCAACTGCAGGTATATTTCTGGCTAATTGTAAAAGTGGATCATGCTTTACGATCGTGTCTAGCAGCGAATGGCTTTTGATCTTCGCCCTGTTTGTTTGAGTTGGTGCCACTCTCGCCCAGACTCACATGCAGATGCGGAAGAGTCACGCAAACGGAAAACCCAAACAGGGGAAATTGTTTAAACCAGTTAATAAGTGGCGCGGTAAAAGCTTGCGAACCTGAAGCTTTTGGCCCAAACAGCTGGGGCTGGCGCTTAACCGCCTCAACCGATCCAAACAGAAGCGATCTTTCTCTGGCAATGTGCATTTCTTCTATACACTGCAAGAATCTGGGGCAAAGTTGGGGAAACGGTGTGTATCTTCATTTCATAACTTAAGACTTCTCAACAGTAAACATTCACCAATGAACAAAAGTGGTATAACACATTATAAATACATATCTAAAAGAGAGAAGTAATAACCATTACCAATCAGATTTAACTTCGTTCCTGCTGCCTAAAATTTATATATTATTATCCTCTTCCCTCTGAAGTTTTAAACAATTAGGCCAGTGACACTTTTGAGTTTTAATGACAGCCCTTTATTATTTCAAAACACATTAAGTGATGCTCCTTTACCAGCCGCAGTTTCAGGGCTTTGTAATTCACACTTGACACGTTCTGGCCACTGACTTACTGAGCTGCGTAATTGGATCTCGAAACAAGTGGCAGCCACCTCAGGCCTCCGGCCCCCGGCCAAAGGTTCTGCCAACAGATCCAGATCTTCCCCCAAGAGTCTAGACTCTAGACTGACAGGGGTTCAAGTGTATCGGTACTCAGAACATGGAAACATTGTGTGCCCGGGGCAAATTTACACAATTCTTCAAAAATTGACTTGGGCTATCAAGGCCAGACGCAGCGGTGAAGCCATAAATCGTAGGATGAATATATTTTAATGAGCCCAAAGTTTGTTGGATTCAATGAAAGGTGAGCGGGCGGGCGGCTGTCATAATCACGTTGTGCAATTAACTATCGATGCTGTCAGTAATCATCCGCTGAACAACTTGGGATCTAATGAGTGTTCCAATATGATTGGACAATCGGAGTGGGAGGTTTCGGATTGAAGTTCGAATCTGACTAGGAAATGGGGGGGAAATACCAATGCCGTCTTTGTTCCTGATCAGCACGATCAGCGTGATTTGGCTTATGACTAGTGATTCAGATAAGAGAAAGAGTAGTATTTGCAACGCAGATCCTGGGAGTAACAACTAATTTGGCTTAATTGTTAAGCAAAATAAATTACTTAATTTTCCCAGAAAATCCAGATTTGCGACTTATGCAAGCGATATGAAACACGAAAGTTAAGCGAACCCGATTCGAATAACAGTAATTACAGTGACACAATGATGGCGTGCCAAGGGTTAAACTGTGATTCAACAGGGAATACACTCATAGAAAACCCAACATTGAAGTGCTACAGAAATGTTTATATGTTTCTTATCACAATGCAGTAACTATATAACTCTGAACACTATATAAGGAAATTGTTTATAATTTCATTTGCAAGCTCATGGCTTTTGGCTCAGTGCAGTGGCCCTGATCTAATAGAATCCAAAACCGTTAGCTTCGATTCCATCAATGGCTCGCGCCCTTTTCAATTGATAGTAATTGGCTTCGAATGGAACTTATTCGTCGGTGGTAATGTATACAAGCGAAAGTGTAAATTGCAATTGAAATTTCAGCATTGTCAAGTAGTTTGAGTGCAACTTGGAATTGCAAATGATCGACAGGAGAAGGGAAGCTCCAAATGGGAATGGATATGGGAATGGGAATCCAGAAATGGGAGCTACTCACCTGTGTTTCTGCTGCTCAAGGCACACTATTTTGTTGTTAGCTATAAATTAGGCTCTAACGATGTGCTATTTCCAGTTTTTTAAGCACGTGTTTGGGCTGGCAACTTTTCCGGCTTCAGCTGGTGCACTTTCTATGCCATCGCATCATAACCAAGACAGTCGAAGTTCCATAAATAGCCAAGCATCGAAGACACTTCAAGTTAAATTCACAATTTATAATTAATGTTTACATTAACTATTTGACTAATAATATAAGTTCTGCCGAACTTTCTGTGCTTTCTGATAGAGCTTACATTATGTAGCTGGAACCCACAACCGTTGCGAATCGTTCCGAATAATTAACTGAATGTGATGAATGTGGGTCTCCTCCACTCGACGACTGGTTGTCACTCTTTGTGTGCTGCTTATGCAGATCTACATCGTAGAGCGCCGTGTTATCTGTGGATCATCAGCGAGCTATTTTTTATCTTGTCACTGATTATAATTATTTTAGTGTAGTCAAATGTCGGCCAAATATTTGCACATTGTTTGTTGTGCAAATGAAATGCTTCAGACCCACGAGCAAACAGTTACGATGCTTAGAAATATGCGCAAGAAAAGCAACCGAAACACCAAGCGGATAAAAATTAATACAAGAATATCTCGAAGCACAGCAACAAAAAAAGAACAAATTCAAAAAAGATACACGAAGACCGCGAAACGCAACAGAAGATTGTGGAAACACAAGAAAAGCAAGAAAAACACGGCGGCGACGAGCACACACGTTCGCTTTTCTGCGAGCGCTACGAATGAATGAAAAGTTTGCTGCCAACGCAAAGATAAATAAATGCCGATGTCGCTGCCCGGGGCGCAGTTGCAGCGACGTCGACGTTGGCAGCTGCAGCGGCAGCGGCGGTGTTGCACATTTTGTTGTTGGCCCAGGTGATTTTGCCGTTAGATGCCGTGGGTTTCCGAAAGCCCAATCAGCCGGTTTTTCAGATAGTTTTGTAAAATGTAAAGATATTTTACAGGCTATGTACATCGATTTGACATTTGAATTTACAGATACATGTAAAAACAATCAGTTTCGCATTACTTAACACAGTAGGTTTTCTTACAAGATTTCGTACAAGATTTAATAAATATAAATAAAATAAATTTATTATATTCGCCACATAAACCTAACACCCAAGTTAAAATCCGAATAGGTTTTTGGAAAATTAAATGAAATAAAGTTAAATAAAAAAAATGTATTAATAAATATCTACTGCACTATGGTGTTTGTTAAAGTTTTTAGCTTTGTTTGTTTCTAAGAAAAGCGGTCAATACCGATAGTTAGATAATTTTTTATTTTTTAATTTTGGTAATTACTCAGTTAGCTTTAAATCTGACTATAATCATTGCCACTAAAATATAATTACCACTTTTATAGCGCAAGGCAACCCATTTATAAAAGACTAATTGCTTACTTTTTGTTCTTTATTTAAATGTTGTGTATTCATTATAATTATATTGTACAATTTGTTTTATTTTGTTTGTTTGTCTTTTTTATAATTTCTCAAGTTGGACATGCACTTCTCACACGATGGAATGTCACTTATTCTCAGTTGCATTTTCACGATTTTTTTGTGGTTTTTTTCGCTTTTCTATTTATCGCGGAATTGTTTTCCAACAGTAACAAAAAATAAATTATTGGCTTTTAAAATATATGTGTATGTTTTGTGTATACAATATATATAAAGAGCGTAGAACTTAAGTATACGATAACTAAACGTATAGAATTATAACATGCCGGCAAGATTTTCGATTCATCATCATCATTTCATATCCTCTGATATCTTAGCTCTTCTCTTCTCATATCATAATATTGTATAATCTTGAATAGTACATTTAGAACTAAGGGCTAAAATTAAAAACAAATTGTGATGTACAACACCGGAAATGTCAAGTTCAAAACGATTTTTCCCCTCTCAAAAGAGTTAGGGGACATAAGAGTGAGAAAATAGAGCATTTTTAGGGTAAAAGTTAAGAGAGATTACAATTAATAAACAATTAATAATAATATTGAGCATTGAACTCGTACTGTTCAAAATTGTAGCAATCGATGCGGAGTATTCGTAATTTCAAGCAAATCTCGCGGTGAAGTCTCTGCTTGAATTCAAATAACATTGTACACAAAACATTTCGTTTATTAAATTAAACTGTTAATTATGGCAAACAAAGATTGTAAACGCATTCGAGCTATGCGACGTGTTATCCCTATACATATCATATATATCTGTATCTATATTCATCCGAATGTTGCGATTATTTGTGGCGCTACTGTTCATCAACGATTCTTGATTTAATTGTTTAGTTTTGAATCAACTTTCTCGGCTGATTATTGTTCATTAGATATTTTTTTTGTTTTTCAACAAATGCACACAAATGTTTTTTTTTTAAGTTGTTTTTTTTTTCGATTTTGTTTTTGCCTTAGCTTGGACTTAAGTACGATTTTTATCAACATGTTTTATTGCAGAGTGTTCTTATCTCTAGGTGTATATCTAGCTTTAGGGATAATTACTTCGCGAGAGTTTTACCAATTTTTTGATCGTCAAAGTTTTCATCTATATGTTGTTTTTTGTGTACAGAGATCCTAATTATACATAACAGAGGGGGTTGTGCGGGGACAGGGTAACGAGTTAGTTTTGAAACAGAAATATAGAACAAACGATTTGTGTTTTGTGTGCGTTTTTCAAAAATAATTTTACAATTTATATTCAACAAGTAAAACGCTTAAGCCGAACATACAAAATGATTACAATAGGCTACGTCTAGAGTTCGTGTAGAGCTAATGCGTCCGTTAGATACACCTAAAAGATAGATTCTGTAACTCTTACTTGCCCTGGACCTAAGGTCTTAGCATAAGCAGGGGAGTGGAAACGAGACTTATCTCCTACTGGACAGACACTGTTGCACTCCGCACATATATATGGGGGATATATGAGCATAAATACACGGTACGATTACGATTAGGGTTACGATTACGATTATGGGCTTACAATTATCTATAGACATAGCGAGAATGTAAAATTTGATCAAACAATTTTAGATAATCTCATTGTTGCTAAATAACTAAATCGAATTTAAGTATATATATCATTTTACATGTGTATTCTGTTAGCGTTCTTAACTTCCGTAGCAACTCGATTTGTTGCGGGTCCCATTACGATACAACTACGATATTAGACTTAGGCTCTATGGAAAATGGCTTATTGAAACAACTTCTTGTGTCCGTAATTTGTGTGTGTTTGAGTGTGGTTATCGGGAGCTACCCGTACCGTACTGCCAGCGCTACTGATTGGGCAGCTCCGTGAGCGTCACATCGTACAGGTCGTCCTCGATCTGTTGCACCTCCAGCAGGAAGATGTCCTCGTTGCAGTAGAACGATATCATGTCATCGTCAATTTTCGCAGTAATCCTGCAATGAGAATGTGAGTAGTGAAATGTTAGCAATCCGATTGGAATGACTTAGTTTGCTATATATCAGTACACCCATGCAAAAAGTTAGCACACGATTTGAGTTATATATATATTGTGGTTTGATTAAGCCATGCTATAATGATGTGAAAGGGGAAGGATGCATCCTGGTGTATATCTTTCTGTGTGGGTGTATTTCTGTGTTTTTCTATCTCACGGATCGGTTAGAACTGGCTTACTTACCCCTTCTTGTTTGTGCGATAAATGTTATTTATGCTCGTTGTTGAGATTTTGTATTTGTTTTCAATCTGCAATTGAGAAACGAGAGAAATATGATGTTTTGTCTGTTTTGTTCTTGTTGTTGTTTTTGTTTTTTGTTTTTGCTCTTGTTCTTGATTTCTATTTCTATCTTGATTAAAATATTTCTCTTATAACTCGCTGGTTTTTCTTTGTGTAATTTTGTTCATTTTCTATGGTCTGCCAATCTTGATTTATCAGGTTTCAGTGTACGTTGCCTTCATATCTTTTTGTGCTTTAGTGTGTGTGATTGGAATGTGTACGGAGAACATATTTAGGGTCTGCTTGGGTTTTAAGGTACATATATACATATAAGTATATATACTTTTTGGATGAGATTTGATTATGAAATGGTTCGTAATTAGTTCCAACTACAGGTTACAAATTATCGAATTTCTTCGTGTGAGTAACGATTTATATTTAGAGTTTGAGATGCGGCTGAATTTTAGTCGATTTATGCTTTAGTCTTAGTCGATTAACGATTTTAGAGATTGAACATTTTGGCGCTTCATTTGTTTGATTTCTTTTCAGCGGATCCAATTAGACCAAAATGAACAAAATTACAGAAAAAGGTGGTTAACCATTAGCACGAGTTTGGTTCGATTGTTTTAGATTTCGATTTTGGGACTGGGGAGTTGGCTGGGTTTCGGGTTGAGCTTGCCACTTCGCTTACCGCATTCAGCAGGCCGATCGTGGTTGGCGGCACCACGTGCAGCGGCGTGTACACCTCCTCGTTCTCCTGCCGCACGTACAACATCACGCGCTCCGAGGTCGGCGGCGTCATCCTGCCGCGCTTCATCGGCGGACCAAAGTCGGTCAGTGGTGTGCTGGTCAGCATGTTCTGGTCCAGTATGTGGTCCTTCTTATCGCTGCAGGGGAAAGTGCAAGTTACGGGGAGTGAAGAGAAGAAATTTGAATTAGCATGGATCTTATGAGGTTCCTACACTCAGAAATTGAATTGCGAATAAACTGTGGGAATTGCTATATTATCCTTTTCCCCGAAACAGTTTAGCAACCCCTGCAATTTTCTGATAGTCGAGTAATTCTTCTGCTGATCTGAGCGTAGGCTGTGGATTTCTAGGATGGATGGACGATTTTTACTCACGTCTGCATGTCGGGCGGAAAGTGGTTGTGGAACTTGAGCGTCGGCGTGGCCACCTTCTGGCCGTGGAGCAGGAACGGTGAGGCCCCCTTCAGGTCCGGCGAGTCAGTCTCATGGCCGTAGAAGCTCTGCAAGGACGAGTGCGAGTTGGAGTTGGAGTTGCCGTTGCTCAGGGGGTTGAATGTCATGCCGGAGGCAGCGCCAATGCCCAGCTGACCTACCTTCTCCATGTCCTCGGCGGGCGAGAACAGCACCGGCGGCTTGGCGAAGTCCTGCATGCCATAGAACTCGGACCGATCCGTCACCGGATGGTAAAGCTCGTCCAGCTTCTTTCTGCCCGTGGCTGTCATCTTTCGCTTGGCGGCCCGCCGCTCCTCATCGCGCGTCTTTCGTTCGGCGCCCTAAAAATTTCAAAGAACACCTTTAGATTGGGCACTTAACAGTGGGTTAACTGTGTGTGTAATAGTGGGTCGGATTTGGTTACAAATTGCATTCGTTTGACTAGGACTACGCCTCGGAATTTTCGAGTGCATTGAAGATGCTTCCAGGTGGCTTGCGAAAGTCCCGCTCCCTGTCGAATTCCCACTGCGCAGGCGCACAGGTGCACGGGGCCAGCGTGTAATTAGCAATCAATCAAATGCACGGATGCCACCTTTTTTGATATTTCTTTACTTATTAATTAAATTCGTGTATGGCTGGCAGTGCCATAAGCTGCCTCGTTGCAGTTGCACAAAATCGCATAAAAAAAGTAAAAAAATAAAATGGAAAAATATCAAAATAGCGAAAGAGAGAAACGAGTTTCTCGCCTGGGGAGCTGCGATGTCGCACAGAGACAAAGCCGCCACCGCAGTGGATTTCTCAGTTGGAGTCTGCAATCTGCGGCTGCGGCTGCGTCTGCGACGGCCACTTTTGGCAAAATGGTCTACACCGTTAGGGTCAGAGCCAAAAAAAAAGTAATAGCTACAACAAAACTAACACAAAAAAATGGGAAAAAAATTATTATAAAATACTTAGAGATGCAGCATAAATATGCATACATAATAAATAATCTGGCGGCGCCCCGAACCATGCAAGAAAAAGACTTTGTCTGGGCCAGCTGCCCACCTGCTTGTTGCCTGATTGCACACACACACACACACACACGCACGCACACACATGCACACGCAGATCGCACGGATACCTATATAATATATAGTCTGCTGGCTACTTTGTCCGCCGGTGATTGCTAGTTTGCGTGTGCGCAGGCAGATGCAGCATGCATTGCTGCTGCTGCTGCTGCTGCTGCTGTTGCACTTTGCATTTGTAATTAAAAATCAGCAATTGAGCGATGGAAGCTGCTGCAGGAAGGCAGGTGGCCAAGGGGGTGGGGTACAGCAGCGGCACAGGAAGTGATATGTTGCAGCAAACTACTTGGCCTGATGTTGCTGCTGCTGCTGCTGCGGCTGGAGCTTCATATATGATGCAAGGATGTCTGCGCCTACCCCGCCCCAAGAAGCCCATGCTCCCTAGCCCCCTCCGTCCCCATATTAACCCAGGTTCTTGCGCTTATCACAAAGCATTTTAGCCTAGAGCCATGCATTCGATGTACATCAGGCAGCCCAGTGCTTGTTGCGTTTGTGTGTGGCATGTAAATAACTGTATTTTATTACTTTTATTTTATCTCGGCAAAAATATCGCCAAACTGGCCACTTGCAACAAGCTAAGGCGACGGCGTCTCGAATCGCCCAATGCGGTCAATGCTCGCCGCAGTCCAGACCCCTCATTTCGTGCCCCATCCCGGTCGCTCTGCCCGCCACCACACACCGCACCTCCCCTCGTTGTTACCTCCTTTTTGGAGGCTGTTAATCGACTTCGAAGTATGACGAAGACGGAGGACACCCGACCATGTGGGCTGCCAGCATTTCGCAGAGGCGGGAGGCACATAACCATTAGCATTAACGTTAGTTAAATTCTATAATGACTCAACATTGATGTGCGAAGAAACATTCTCAAATACCCTATTAGAAAAATGAACTGTTTGACATATTGATATCCTGTTTGGCAGGTGCAATAACTAATGTTTAAGGCTTTAAACTTTCAAATTTATTTATTAGATTCCAAGTCGGTGTTCACAATGATGTGAACTAACAACTTATCCATTAAAATACCAACGTTATGTAAGTTATTTTCCGCACTAATTTTCTCCTTATTGGGGGAAAGTATCTCTACATACAAAATTGCACAATCCAAAATGACAGTTATCCGCCAAGACACAGACTTCCCAAGGTTTTCTGGCACACTGGACGTGCGGCAGAATTTCTTGTAATTTTGTATCTTTTTGGCCCTGCCCCGGGGCAAACTTAAAGATTCATAATTGGCGACTGTGGCCCAGAGGTGCCAAACGACGGAACTGCAACTGAAACTGCAATTGCAGTGAAATCAAAATTTCAAAAATCCCCAAAACATACAGAGAAAATAAAAGGGAGACCAGGGCAAAGCAAAATAACGTGGTACGCGAAATTTAATTGATACATTTACCGATAAACACACGCTGGCCTGCGAAAAAGGGCCGGCCCCAAATGTGAAATATAAGCCCGGCGCGATAGCGATATGGCCATGGCTACGGATCGCTGGATCGCTGGAATTGGTGGAATTGGTGGATCGGGGATCGGGCGATCGAGGATCGTGTACGGGGCCTTTACAATAAAAGCCATGTCCAAACGGAGGCCCAGGGACGAGGATGTGTAATGATATGAGAAAATTAAATTGGAAATCCACGAAATGATTTATTAATAAACCCCATCAAGCGAAAAAGTGAAGGGTTCGCATAAAGGCGAAGGTACAGATACGAAACAAGGGCATGGAAAGGATGTGCGGTGTGTGCGTGTGTGTGTGAGGCAGTGTTGTTGCTGTATGTGCTTGCTGGCCATTTACTTTTGGACGCGTTACGCTTTCCACTAAAGGCCAACAGGCTGACTGACGGACAGGCACTGCCGGTGCCCCCAATTCGATAAAAGTTGCAGCCACATCGGAGGGAGAAGCTGCAGCAACAAGTGGCAGGCACACACAGATACACACTGCACTGCACAACTAAATATTTATTTAAATAATTCTCGTGATTTTTAAGGTACAAGATATGCATGAAAGCAATAACATTGTAAATATCACAATATGAACACAGATAATCCATTTGTACTTTTTACCAAAATCACCTGGTGAAGTAAGGACGTTCCTGAACTTGTTTCTCCCCGTGTACTACAAACGAAGCAGCACGTAGCCGCTTTTAGTTAGCTCATCAACCTGTTGCACGTGGCAGAGGGAGCACTGCTGCTCCTGCTGCTTCTGTGTGCGTAATTGCCAGCATAGGGGAGCTCTGCTTGGGGACTGGGCATCGGGATCAGGGATCAGGGATCAGGCACCGGAGACGAGGGAAAATAAAATCACTTACCTTATCGCAGAAGACCTTTATCTGACAGTAGCCGCGGTGGAAGACCGCCGTATCTCTGGGGTCCTCGAATGTGTCGATTTGTACGTGCAGCGGCAGGCCCTGGAATAAACAGAATCCGTATTAATATCACAATGGCCGTATCATTCAAATGGCCCGGGGGCAAATAAAAGTTGCTGCTGCTGCTGCTGATGCCGCCGGACAGCAGTCGCCACTCCAGCAGCAACAGCCACTGCCAAAGCGACTGCAAAAGCAAAAACAAAAGCAAAGGCAACTTGCAACAGCTGCAATTAGCCGTTGTCATTTGGGCTGAGGGGGCGTGGCCGAAGCCGAAGGGGCGTGCCAGGAGTGATGTTAAACTGCCAACATCCGTTGGGCGAATGTGTGTGCAACATGTCGTGGCAAGTGCATAATTTCATTTGCCTATTGCCCACACTCAGTGCCGCACGTTAAAAAAAGTGTATTAAAATAGGTTCTGAATGCCATTAAAATCATAATTCCTATTATAAGGGAGATTTATAAAATTGTATTATTAAAAATATAAAAACTACTTAAATTGTCTGATGACAGCTAAAAATATTTGCTTTCGAATCAAGAGCAATTAATGACATTTTTTTGCTGTGCAAGCTCCACTGTAGCTTCAGCGATCTCTTTTAATGAAAAGCAACGAGTTCTGCCTGTGTTTCTGTCAATGAAATATCAGACTTAATGTACGCATTACAACTCTGGCCAGGAGGATGTGCAATCCGCTTTAGATTGCCAGTGGGAAGGTGGGAAAGGGGGCAGGGGGCAGGGGGCCCAGGTGAGCGGGCAGAGGCAGGTGGCAGAAGGCAGTAGAAATCCCCTGCCTACGTTGCATCAGCATCAGTCTGACCGTTGTCAAGACGACTGCTCTGAATGCTGATCGCTTCGCGGAGGGAAGAAGAGCTCTTGGCCGCATTGATTCGCCATTAACAAGTTGGCATTAAATTGGTTATTACTTAACCCATCAAAGGCAATGTGGCTGACTTTCGTCTGTAGAAAGGTGGACATATAAACTAAAAAGCATTGTCAACTTTGATAGGAATGGCATTAAATGGAAGTATTTATATGCACTTTATAGAACGGGACTCAAAAATATGCTTCAAAATTTAAATTTCAGTGGGCAATATACGATCCTAGTCGTATTTGGCTTTTACAAGTGCTTATTTGTTAGCAAACACGCATTTAAGTTAAATAAGAAGGTAAATATAATAATGCAAAATAATAACAGACTCACCTTAACTCCCTTTTGACTGCTGAAATCCGTGCTCAAGCACTGAACCGCAATGTTGATCTGTTCAAAAGCAAAAAATAAATACATGAAATTATAAGAAAAGCTAAGGAGAAACAGAGCGTATGTGAGAAATGCCATAAAATATACAAATGTAAACAATTATGAACATAAAAAGAAATTATATCGGATGACAAAAACTGAAATGCGTCTGCGCTATTAGAAGGCAATTGTTTTCTCTCTATTAAGTCGATGTCCTCTTTATGCCCACGACAGTTTAAAACATTCCAACGCACTCGGAAAGAGCAAAAATGAAGACAGAAAAACGCTGAAGGAGAGACAATAACAAGGCAATACACAGAGGACCATCGACCAGCGACCATGGACCGGGCCAATAAGATGGCCTGAACTGGAACCGAGGAACTGGGGCCTTAACGCCAAGTAACGAGCCAACTGAAGCCGCGACTTTGTATCGCATCCAATTCATTTTTCGTTCGACTTCGATTCAGTGCAAGGTGTGTGCATTTCGCATCTGTATCTGTATCTGTATGTGTATCTGTAGCTGCAGCTGTAGCTGTGCACGTATATATGCGTATCTGTGTGCCGCGGCATTTTAAGCATGCCAAGTCCGAGTTTGAGTCAAAGTCGGAGTTTGAGTTCAGTTCGCCAGACAGTCGTTGGACAGTACGAAATGGAAAAAAAAGAAATAAAATAAAAAGAAAATCCATCAACGCAAAAATACCAAAGGAAACAATCTTAATGGTAAAAGTGCAGCAGTCACAGCCGCACATCCAACATCCAACATCCACTGCCACCATCCCAGCCCCACAGCATCCGAAGATCGGGCGGCCATCCAGAGACCGAGATGTGTGGACGAGCAGTATTTAATGTGAATAATTAGCGGGCGCGTACCATATAAGCGAAAAGCGAGGGGCGAAGCACCTGCGTGTCGGTGCGTACGAAAGTTTTGCCGCTGGGAAAGGCAGTATCTCACAGATACACAGACACGACTGCAAAGATGGAGATACAGATGCAGCTAACGGCACAAAACGAAATCGACATTATGCCAGCCAAGTCGGGCCAAGTCACAAAAAACCAAAAAAAAAAAAAAAATGAAGGCGACTCGACTCTCTCTCCTCGAAGACGATGATGTCGCTGGGATTAACATCTCAGCGCGTAAACAATTTGTAAATAAAAAGCTCTATCAAATGGGAGTGGGCGGGCTGAGGAGGTGGGGGGTCGGTAAAATGTGGCGGGGGGAAATGCACTTATGGCCAGCCAGTTAATAACTGCTGACCAATTTGGCAGCCTGCACACACAGAAGTCACTGAACTTGAATGAAAATCAATACGATTTTGGCATTTGTTTTTTACAATATTTTTCACATTTTTCCAATGGCATTTCAGTCGGATTAAATGGACACTTGGAGAAAATGTTTCCGCCAGTTTAATGTTATAATAAAAACTACATATATTAATTAATGTCACATAGAAAATATTCAGGATTTTCAGGCATGAGTGTTGACTTTCAAGAAAGCAGGTATTTATATTAATGGAGAGCGCGTAAAGTTTCATGTAACTCATAGAAGATGGAAAATGGGTTTCTTTAATTGCCTTGTATTAAATTTCTTAGTTTGGTTAACATTCTTTGCCTAATAGGGGCACTTTTTTCTCTGTGCAAGTGGGCGGAGCATCGCAAAGGATAAAGCCACAGCCGAACTCATGGCGTATACGTAATATGAGGGCTGTCTCGCTTACTGGTCTTACTACTGGCGCTTGATGCAATAGAATTGCAAATATTTTCCACCGATTAAAATGCTTGATAATTGCTAAATTAAAACGCGGTGGGAGCTCGCTCGATCTGCGGTTAGCAGCCAAGCCAATGGCTAAAGCCAGCCACTGGACTCCATGCGAACTCAAACTCAGACTCAACTCAGACTTAGTTCCAAGCATTTGCGAGTAAGTGATTAAAACTAAGTGTCATAAATAAATAAATGCATAAATTATTCTTTTGAGGCAGCAAGATACTGGCATTCGCTGCGAGTGCGAGAGAGAGAGAGGGAAATGGCCGGACAGCGGGCGCCAGAAAAGGATGGCCACAGTTGGCTGGGGCAATGGCGACGCTGTTTGAATAATTTGCGTTTTACTCGCAATTGAAAATAAATCAGAAATTAATTCTTGGCTCACACACAAGTACACACACACACACTTGCATACATATAGCACGATATAGAGAGGACTTTGCGGGTATCTGCTATCTCATTTTGCTTCATAAAAGTGTCGCGATTATTTTTTTAGCTTTTTTCAGTTTTAATTGAGGCGGCGCTCGAAGTAAACAAAATGGTTGGGGGGAACACAAAGCACAAAGAATTCAATTGACGGTGAAACCCTAGGGATACCCTGGAGTCGCTTGGGAATTCTAAACATTCTTTGTCTTAACATTTTTATGAAGACTTTAAGATCTAAACTATCTGTGCTTCATTCTGTGCCACATTTTATCCTACTTTCAATGCTATTAACATTTAACTAACCAAAAGATATGTGTTTTCGGCACACAACAATGGCCCTACTTTGGGGTCCTAGTGTATACAAAAGCATCATACCCTTACAGATAAACGGTACACAAAAATTCCATAACTACTTTGCCGATTGCCGCAGAAATAAGATCTAGAAAGAGCAGAACTTACCTTGGCGGAGCTCTCCAGCGGATTCCAGTAGACGGCGATGGCATTGTGCGACACTTCCTCGATGCAGCCAACGAGGCCAACCGAGTTCTTCGTATCTGGAGAAGAAGAGCAGTCCAAGCAGATAATCAGAGGGGTTTTGGGGGGAGATCATGCGGTTTAAAGACGCAGCAAAAGAAGTGCGAGAGATGGAATGGAAGGAGTTGAATGGGGTAAACAGAGGCGAGAGCTTCGGACATTGGAAAATATGTTTGTATTAACAATTAAGGAAATTTCTGCGTTGCCATCCAGTGACAAGTGCCTAATGAGTTATGTTTGATGGGCCAGGCAGCAGCAGCCGCAGCAGCCGCAGCAGCAGCAGCCCCATGTTGCAAGTTGCAGGCTGCAGGTTGCTGCAGCAACAGCCACAGCCACCGAGATTATCTGCAATCAAACAAACGGAGCGCAGTTGCTGCCGCCGCGCGATGCGCGTTTATCAATGTCATAACTCTCCTGGAACGTTGCGGGCCTTTCAATAAAAAGCAACAATTTACTGCTAGAAATACTAGACAATACAAATGGACAGTCCGGCAACCGACGCTGCTGGACTTCGGTGCTCGATCTGGACAGGTTGGGGTTTGGGTGGAAGTCCATGTTGGTTTTACGCACCTGCATCCAAGATTCTCTGCTTCACGGAATGCTGACGACTGTGCCAGAATTGCCAGGCCTTGATCTCATCCTCGGGACTCTTCTCCTCGCGGAACATTAGCATAATCACACTCTGCGTCGGTTGAACGGGAAGAACAGAAAGCACATATGGTTATTAAATTAAGTGCGGTACTAAGTTAAGGGGACACTAAAAATGAACCCATCTCAGCATTAAGTATTAAAAATAAACTTAGAGATGTATCTTCAACTTATTTCCCTGCTTAAGTTTGAGGTGATTGGTTACGCCTCAGCATTTCATTTTTTAAGAGCATTCTTTGCCAAGTTTATCCATTCTAATTGAAATTTAAATCACAAGCAGCTTATGTTCATTCTAGCAGTAAAATAACCCCGGAACATTTGAGATTTCGGAAGAAAAAACTTACAGATTTGATTATATCTTTGTAATTGGAAAGGTAGATCTAAAAAACAAACAGGGACTGCAACTCGACCAATTCGCTCTCAGTTTCGTTCACTATCCTGATCTGGAAAGCGATCTGGGCGAGAGCTGATCCTTATCGCTAAGGAAATGCCATGTCTGGCGTTGATTTTTGCCAGACATGGTTCTAATCCGTTTATACTATCCCAAGGATGGGTGGCTCTCTGCCGGGTTCATTGCTCTGACATATATGCGTTGTGACACGCAACTCACAACTCGGCAGATCGCACCCTACGCCTTTAAAGTCAAAAGGATTAGGCCCGGCGAGGACAAAAGGACGAATTCGATTTAGCAGAAAAACGTCCAACTCATTTGGTTTCTTCTGCTCATCGAGGCTCTATTGTTTTCCCAGCATTTGCATATTTCGTCTATTATTTTGTGTCTATTTTTTACATTTTGAATAATTAAGGATGCGCAGAGATAGCGAAAGAGTTTCCAAAATCAGAAAAACGAGGAAACGGAAACAGTTTCGAAATTGCAAGCAACCCCCAAAAAAGGATCATCTTTTTCTTGAGGAGTCGGGGTTTAGCTGCTTACTGCATAAATATTTTTGTGTGTTTTCTTCGGGGACTGCGTAAGTTTTTACATATTCATGGGCTAATCAGCTCGTAAATTATACTCCGTTTTTTCTCCCGATTCGTTACCCATTTTTCTTGGATCAGTTTTCCCCGTTAGATTTCGTTATGCAAATGCCCAAAAGTGTTGGGAAGTTTTCCATTTCGGGGAAAGGGCGCGCGGCTCTAAACAAATAAACTCGTAAATTAATTTTGACACTTTTTTGTCGAGCCTTGCAAAATATGGCACTTTTATGGTAATCTGAGAGCTGAGAGCTGGAGCGGCCTGGCCGAGAACTTGAGAAGTGGAGGGAAGGTTAAGCTCGTATCTGAAGATCTCTGCGTTTCATTTGGCTACGTTTCTTGAAGTTTTTGTTGCAAGTTTCGTTCCTTATTCATACTTTTTTTTTATCGCACTCTTTGCGTATGCAAATGACTAGGACTCGGATTCGGATGCGGACTCAGATTCAGATTCAGACTCGTATTCGGATGCCCTCAATTTCAATTGTTGTTTACTTAGCCTCAAGTTCCGCTTCCCGTTTCCTCCGGCCATTTCCTCAACCCATTTACCACTTTCAACTGTAACTTTGATGTCATTCTTCGGCTCTCAACGGTTCAGTTTTCAGTTTCAATTTGCATTTGCATCTTCAGACGTCATTTAAGCTTATCTGATTGATGATGTTGACGGGTATTGTCCTGCTGCTGCTCCTACTCCTTGAGCGATCGTCCTGAACAAACATTGGTCGTGAAAGACGACCGAGTCTGCCGGCAATTTGCATTGAACGGAATATTCAAATTCTCATCCAGGGATCGCACTCGCATTCGCTTTCTCAGTATCATTTATCATTGCGCCGTGCCCCTGAGCGGCAGGATATGGGATGGGTGTAATTGAGCAAAGGGGTGGCGATCGCACCTCGGGGTAGTACTATCCACTGAAGATACCCGCTCAAGAAGCCGACACAGATTCCCTGACAAATCGCTCTGGTAACGAAGGGTTGCCCCCGGACGCAGTTTCCCATTTTCTCTGTTCGTGTGTTCGTGTGTTCACGTGGTGTTGATGGCATAAACAAAACACACCGAAGAATGGAAAACAAGCAGCACGAACTTGATTGACAAAGCTCCCCTTCCCTAAACATATGGCACTACATATAGATTTGGATCCTACCTTGACGGTGGTGTTCTTGATGGGCTTTTCCGCATCGTGCACATACTCCAGCGTTATTCCGTAGAACTGACCCTTGTTGATGTAGGTGATGCGATCGTCCTCGCGCCTCTGCGATGAGCTGATGGGGCTCTCCAGGTGGTATCGGAAGCCCACGTTTGTGAAGCTATGGGGTTGTATTTGGAAATTGTTTCGAGGTTACAAGTGGGGTTAGGATGAGTAATAAAAACGCTAGGATTTGTACGGTATCCCAAATTATGTATGTTACAAGTTTGGGGCGCTCAAAAGTGTAGCACTAATTTTCAATTGGTATTTACGAGTTGGGGATCTTCGGAGGACTTACATTTTTGGTATTTGTATTTTGTCGGCATCATTCTGACGTCCAAAGTCGTGCCAGGGCCGCGATCGCGTGGATCCATTGGTGCTGGTGTCCACCAGCGATGTGGTGGGGCTGTTCTGGCTGCCATGGACCACCGTCCTCTGCTGGATGCTGTTCACGCTGACGGGTATGCTGCCATTGGCATCGATCAGCGTGCCGGGCTGGCACAATTCCGTGTAATCGAAGGACTGTTTGGATGGGATCAGATGGAAAATCAGAAATTGTTTCGACTTGTATAGAAATCTGAATCATTACAAGCACGTATTATGTTATATAGGATTCAAAAGACTACCTTTACGTTTCTAGGGCTTAATGGACACGTCACGCTTGGAATAAACACTCAACTATTTGGCTACAAATCTACTAAAATGTGATTCTTATCTGATTTAGTGTTATGTACAACACACTACCTCTAAGTTATGGGCTTTTGTTCGCCAAGTTTGGCGTTTTAATGGACACGCAACGCATTATCATTTGGGATTTTAGCGAAGGGTATACCTGTTGGATATTGGTCTGATCCCGCGGTGTGATGGCATCCGTACCAATGCCCGAGTCCGGACTTGGCAGATCCACCGTTAGACCCGCCGCCGTGATGGCTTTAGCGTAGAGGGGCGTTGCTCCGCCGTTGCTCTTGCCATCCTGCGAATGGTGCTGTTGCTGCTGGTGGTGTTGCTGCTGCTGCTGCTGTTGCTGCTGCTGCTGTTGCTGCTGATGCTGCTGCTGCTGGTGGTGGTGCACGCTGGTGAGCACGGTGGTTGTGGCGGGCGGGGGAACGCTGCCGGCGAAGCGGCCCTCGTAGGTGACCACGCCGCCGGGCTGAGATACGGATACATCCACGTCGCCGTACAAGGACCTCGTGCTGGCCGGTACATAGCCACCCTGGCCGTCCGGCGCAAAGTATTCCCGGTAGTAGGAGGGCTCCGCTATGAACGTGGTGGTGCTGGTGGGCGGGGGACCGGGTGGCAGGCGACTGGCCGTGTACATGCCATAGTCATTGGCCGTGATATAGGGACCCGGACTGGGACTCTGCGCCTGCATGGACACCCCGCCGCCACCGGCGGCTCCAGCCGGTCCGGCGCCGCCGCCCGCTCCGCTCGCCGTGCTGGGATGTGAGGTCTGCAGGTGGTTGGGTGGGTCACACATGGCACTAACTCGCTCGCTCGCCTCTCTGAGAGTTCTCACCTGTAGGTAGATCTGTGTGCCGCCCGTGGTTGCATACATCTCTAGTGTGGCTGTGGTCCTGGCTCCCGGCGATCCTGATTCTGATCCTGATCCTGATCCTGAATGTGGCTCCGATTCAGTGTTTTCAGTGCTAGTAGTGCTGATGCTGGTGGTGCTGCTGGGTGTGCTGGGCCTATCAGCTTCACTTGCCGTTGGTGCATCCACGTGCAAGATCTGCGGGAAAGGTGTGTGGTTGTTGGGTTGGGGTTTTAGCTTGAGTCACTTAAAGCTAAGGTCTGATTGAAAAACGGTGGCTAAGTAAATGATCGATCGACCAGGAATCCACCGAGATTCCAAGATATTCTGTCATTGTGGCTAATAGCCCAAAAGACCAATGATTGATGGTTGTTTATGGCCAGCACAGTACAGCACAGCACAGCACAGAAGGTCGCACAGAAACCCCAGAAACGAGGTGACAAAATTGTGCGTGCGTTCTTTTGGGCCATGATGTGGATTTTTCTTTCAGCCATGATTCATACAACAACAGCAGCCAGCAGCTTATTGAATAAAACGTCAACAAGTACAGTTTATAATAAAAAGCTATAAACACAAAAAAAAAATGCTATATACGAAAATGAAATGAAACAGCCGCCGTCTTCGTTGTTGTCGTCGAGTGGAAAGAAACCAATTAAAAAATATACAGAAAAAAGCGCGAAAAAATCAACATTTATATACGGCATATGTATATACGGTTTGAAATATATATATGACTATATGCATATGTTAATTATCAGTGTTTTTTTTATTGGCTGCCCCAAAATGTCAAACGTTTTTGGAGACAAACGCACGAAGTCAAATGAGGTAATACAGAGCAAAGTGTGGTCAATCCATGTCTTTTTCTATATATACTCGTACATATGTTTATATATATATCTTTATAGATATCGGGAGGACTGAGATCAAAATTAGCAGCGAGCTGCTGATTGCCTTTGGTCTAAAGAAAGTGAAACCCCAAAGAAACACAGGTCCAACCGAAAGACGTCACTATTTGGCTGGCCTTTAATCGAAACCGGTTGACAGCGTTTGGACCCCAAGATTTTGGGGGTAATTTTTGTTACACTTTTGGCCATCGCCACACACATACTTGCAGAACCCTTGTAATAATTTATGGTGTCTTTACTTTGATTATTTCGGTTTGCTTTTGTGTGTATGCCTTTCTGTCAGTCTTACTAATTTAAATTTATACGGAGGTTTTTGTGTCTGCGTCTGTGAGTTTTTGGATTCCATTTTTTCATCGCTGTGGTTGAAGTCTCTTGTATAATTTAGCATCAGTAAAAGATTCTAGCTGCGAGCTAATTAAATTTGTTCATCGAAATCAATTTGCATTTTAAACTTTTAACGTGCAACGTCAGAAAAGGCCTTGACGAATCCGATCGACGATCGATCCGCCAGAGCAGAGACACGGAGACAAAGATACTTTGTTGCTGTTGGTTAGTCGGATTTTCGGTCTTTCGGTCTTTTGGTCTTTCGGCTTTTGATTTTTAACTTTTGGCTTTTGTGGTGCGTGTGTCTCGGACTCAATCGCATCCGAATCTTTAGCTTTTGTTGTTGTTAGCCTCAGCTTTAGCTGTTTAGCTGTGGCTATATGGTATAACTCAGCTATCAGTTATGAGCCGTGCGGAGCTGGGCTTTTAGAATTATGCTAAGTAGCGACCAGCGACAAACGATTCTGGCACATATTTATGTATGAGGAAGGAATAAAAAAAACACCAAAATCTAGCAACAACAAGTAGCGAGACAAAGGCAAAAATAACAAAATATTTAAATAAAGCCAATTAACTATTTTAATGCCTTTTGGAATGATAAAAAGTGAAACTTTTTTCTTCTTCGGTCCGTGTTTTATGAATATCGTTAATTCTCGGAAATAAAGTGAACGAAAAGCCGAGAAAAACAAAAACATCTTCATATATGGATGCGAACAAAAAAAAATTATTTTGCATTCATAAAATATTTTTTAATGGTTCCTTGATGTTGTAATTGTGGTTCTCGGTATGGAAAACCCGTGACTAACAGCCCTCGAAAAGTGTTCAGCTGTGTTGGAAATTTACTAGATGCTGGATCTTAATTTCAGTTCAACTCTTATAAAGAGCAATAAACCTTCAAGGTTGTTTTCGAATTGTTTGGTTGATGCTAAAACTTCCGTTTAGAGAGTACTCAGTTATTGATAGACGAAACCCATTATATCGAAGACATTGTCTTAATTAGTTATAAGGTATTCGAATTGTTTTTCTTTTGAAAATCTCATCTGCCTGTCTAATATATCAATCTGTTTGTTGGATCATTGCCTGTACAATTATCATGTTACATCATGTAGGCTTTCCATTATTAATTGAATTATTATTAATAACGCTTTCCGGTTTTTAGCGCTTTGCATTACGTTTCTGATTCTTGGAGGCCCAACCGTTCATAATTTGATAATCAAATATGAGAAATATCTAGTCAAAGACCCTTGTAGTCAAATACATCTTAAATCCAATACTTCATTTGGAGCTTAGGAAAACTGTTTAACGCCTTTAAAAATGACTCACTTGAGTATCGTATGATTCATTTAAGGAAATTAAGGAAATTATCTGAATTAAATAAGAGAAACTTTATACATTGTTTGGCGAATCGATCCCAAAAGGGGAAATCCGCCGAATGCTATAAACAACTGATAAGCCACACGGAGATGTGGGGCAATTAGAAAGGCATCCAATGAGGCAATTGGATGTGGCGATATATCTCTATCTATTTATATAGAGCAACGGGAGAGAGAGAGTGGCTTGGCTAATCCAAAATCTAAATGCCAGAGTCTAATGATTACACTTTCCGGTGCACGGCGAGCAATAAATAAGTTGCCAAGAGTACAAAATTGATATGTTTTCCGATTCTCGATCATAAATTAAGCTGGCGAAACCTTAGACTTTAAACTATGGCGCGACTGTGTGTATGTAAATTAATAAGACAAATATTAAGAATAATTAACTGTCAATGCAACAAATGCACAATAAATTAGAGTGCATGCAAATTGTGCACCGACTGAGGCAATTTAATATTTATTTGCGTATTTTTGTTGTTTTGTTTTTCCCTGGCCAGCAAATTAATGCCCAATAAAAACGGAGACGGCAATTAAGCCTCGCTGGGTTCTGCTCAATGAATTTTATAAGCCGCGCTCTTGCCCACCCACCCTCTAATATTCGATTCTTGGCCTTAACAAATGCGCGCCAAACAAAAGACTTAGGCAGCGAACTTGTTCGCCGCGTGGGTGTTGAAAGGCAACGCGTTGCGCCCACACAACGTTGTTGTTGTTGTTGCTGCAACTGATTTTGCTGCTGTGAAGTTGCTGTTGCTGCTGTGCTGTGCTGTTTTTGTTGCTGTGCTGCTGCTGCTGCTGCGCGTGCGCTGTTGTTGTTTGATTCATGGTTTAGATTTGACTCGCAGGTGGATTGGCGTTATTGATATGCCACAGAATATTGCACTACTGCCCACATTCCAGGCAAAAGGTACTCGGTATTCGATATCGGTATCACACACACTCACTGTCTTTTTTCTTCGTTGTATTTTGTTTGGGATCCCCTCCGATCGATCGGTTTTCGGTTTTCGATTACAATATACGATGTGTTACGGATCGCGGCGAGGAAAATAGCGAGCGGCTATTACGGAATCGGATTCGAAAGCGATACGATCCTACTCCGACAGCGTGATACGACTGACTAAAGGCCGCCGATCGCTGCCAGGTATGACAGCCGCTGCGACGTCGCCAGTCGGCAATCCCCGCAGTTGTTGCGTCGGCCAGTTGGAACACAGATACACACGCACACACGCGCGCACCTCGGCCGTCTCTCATATCAGTTCAAAATGGTTGGAATCCGCGCCTGTCGCAATATTCTGAACGGGAGCGACAAGGAGGGGCCGGACAGGGCGTTGCAGCTGCGGCGGCATAGTAATATTAAAAAATAGCTGCACTTGCTGCATAACGTCGGGCTTTCTTAACTCCAACTGTCCATAACTAAGATGGCTTATTCATAAGACTGGCTTCTCCGAATCACTCTCATGACTAAATCATATATAAATATACATATACATACATATATGTTTCTAGTAAAAGTATAAAAATAGATAATAATCGTATGGTCAGATGTATTTAAAACGATTTCGTCGACTTTCATAAAAATGTAGTTAGGGTCTTGTTTTTTGTACTTTTATAATTCGAAAAAGAGGATTCTTGCAAAACAGTTTCTAAATTCTGTCCTCTTTTGCATAGTATTAAAGGATTTAACATCAAATGTAAAGCTTAGCAAGCAAATTTGTTGGGTAATTTTGTGATCATTTGATTTAGAATTGTTTTGCCATACTGAAGCTCGACTGTAGTTGCACTTGCTGCACTTATTCAGCCAAATCGGAGCCAGGTCGAAGGAAAAGGAAGGCGAACGGCCGGAAGTGCGCACTTATCGCTGCCGATTGTCGCCCAGAGTTCGCTACTGCAATTTCCCATTTAATTATGGTTGTTCCTTTTTTCTTTGCGTGTGTGTTCGACGGTAGTGTGATAAAGTGCCTTCCAACCAGTCCGCTTGCAACGTGCAACTCGAACTCGGGCAAAGGAAGTGGTTCGATGTGTGACTGAGATGGGGCTATGGACTGAGGCCTCTGCGAGAGCGAGAGCACCATACAAATCACGTACGCACACATACGATCGTATAACAGCTTGCGAGCGTATAACAGTTGGCCGTGCAGCAGTAGCAGCGACAGCACAGCCTCGTTGTTGTTGCTCGCGCACGTAGTTGTTGCTGCCGCTGTGGTTGTTGCCTGGCAGCGTAGTTGTTGTTGCTGCCGCCGTTTCAATAGAACCGAACGAGCAACGACGACGACGACACGACAACAAAAACGACGCTGATTCGTATTGGCTGCAGCCACTAATACTCATTGCTCACTCACACCAGCAATTGACAGACCAATTGCAGGTCTGTTAGACAACAGCGGCGGCAGCAACAACTACATCGCCCAGCGGCAGCAACATCAGCTAGCTGCAACAACAGCAACAACAACAACAACAGCAGCAGCAACAAATATAGATCGTTAATTGATGTAGCACACAGGATGCGCCGCTGATTGGGGTTGTCCACTCCGCTGATGATGATTGTGAATGGGCAGTGGGAATGGGTATGGCTATGGCTATGGGTATGGGTATGGGTATGGCTATGAGTATGGGAATGGCTATGGGTATGGGTCTCGGAATGGCATTCGGAATGAGATCGCATGGGCTGCCGATCTAAGCCAAAGCTTATCCGCAAATACAAATTTATATTGCATACAGCATGCAAGGTACACGGAGAGAAAAGATGAGATAAACCAAATTTCCTGATTGCCATAAATATGTGCATACATATGTTACCTGGACTCTTCTCTTCTTAATCGTGGATGATATATAATTTAGAAACTAATTCCTTTGCTTATAGCACCGAAATAAGACCTAGTACCTTTTCATAAGATGTATGCCAAAATATTTAGAGCTATTATAAAATATAAATATGTTTTTAGGATGCGCTTTTAATTGTTGCAACCCAGTATTGTTGTATTTCCCGAACTATTTCAGGAGCGGTGACTTACTTGCTTTCAATAGAATAGTAATCTAAAAGGTAATTCAAAAATACTGCAAGGATTTGGTAAAGTGTTCGTAGGTTTCTTTCTGTGTAGAAGTGTTTGCTTCTAAATTGAATTTTGCGTGCGTGTCCATTAACTTTTTTCGTAAGAGAGCTTCCAGCTGAGAGGACTCAGTATTTGTAAAACTACCTTGCCTTACAGTTGTGCTTCTTCAGATTATTGGTTCTTAAGGATGTTTTCCTCGTTTTTGTTCTTAACATATTTTGTTGGCCTACCTTCTGCGTTATGACCGAACCCGGTCCATTTGCGGTTGCAGCACCGGCAATGTTGCCGTTCTTGGGATCCTTGCGCAAGTCTTCGGGCTCTCGTTTGATGCTAATTAGTTGCTGCTGCTGCTGCGCCGCAGAGGAGACAATGGAGCCCGTGCTCCCCACGCCAGCGGCACTAACAATGTCGCCGGGATGTTGCTGCTGGTGTTGCTGCTGCTGCTGTTGCTGCTGTTGCTGCTGCTGCTGCTGGTGATGCGAGATCGTTGTCGTGGAGACAACGCCGGTTGTGCTGACCGTCGCTGATGACGAGGGGTGTGAGCCGAGCAGAAAGCCTTGAATCTCATTTTGCGATAGGCCAGAGACATCGATAGGTGTGGTCTGGCCATTGAGCTTTCCACTGCTGTTCAAAAATTCAGATTCAGAGAGAGAGAGGGAGAGGAATATATGGCATTAGTTGGTGTTTAATAGGTGCAATTATTGCTTTAATAAGCGTATGCAAAGTATCTCACTCAAACGAGAATTTATAAAAATAGCTTACACCGATTGGTATCTTTACAGAGAGTGTAGATACACAATATCCAATGGAAATGGTTACTTACTAAATAGAAAGTAAAACAATAATAGCATAATCGAGTTTAAGGTAATAGCCCATCACTACAGATGATCTATCTAGTAAGAAAGATGTATAGTTCCCAGTGCCAGTAATGGCGCCCAATTGCCTGGCATATTCCGACACCCCCACAATTGGAATAACTCCATTAGGCTGCTTATCAATCAAACCCGCGCTCCGCCAATCACCTGGGCAATCATGCAATCAAGCCGCAAACTGCGAGGCAAGGCTAATTTCATTCACCGGAGCCGGAGACACCTGTGCGCTGCTCACAAAACCTGGATGCCCGCCCAAATGGGAGCAATCGGGGCAACAACCAGCCACCATAAACCAGAATCCAGCCTGCAGCAAGTGCAAAAAAAGAAGAAAAAACACTAAAATACAAACGAGCGGGGAGAAAAACCAAAAAACCAAAAACAAAAAAAACCAGACAGCAAAACCTGGCACTACCACCAGCAACATCGGAATCAACATCGGAATCAACAACTGCTTTTGGCCAGCATCCAGCCGAGTTGGCAACGAATACAATCAAGAAAGGGGGTGGTGGGGAGGGGGCAAGTTAGCGGCATCCCCCATGACTTACTTGCCCCTTCGATTCGATCTCTTATCGCTTTATCGCCGACAACTCTAGGAAGAGTCGTAAATTAGCTGCGATGATGCCTGTCGCCGTCTGTGATAATCGAGTATGGATAGCTTTTGCCATTTTTCCAGCGTTTTGGGGGGGAAGGGCCTAAATCCAAAAACACAAAAACCCAAAAGGGAGAGGGAAGATGGCCTCAGAGGGAGACGGCACTCCTCGCAACAAGGTCAAGCAAACAAAACAAAACATAACAAACCAAACCAAAAGTCCTGGCAGCTGGAAAACCGGATTCGATTGTGGAATTATTTCCACCAAGTTTTCAGACACAATTAAAGCTCTTTGAGGGAAACCCCGCCCTTTGACCAGAGAAAAAAGGGCAACCGACACATTTTGCGTAAATTGTGCAGCAAAGTGAGGAGACATAGGAATGAGCGCCTCTTCAGGTAAACAATATGCCATAACATATTCATAAGGATATCTCTATAAGATGGCGGTTGGCTTGCAGCGCAAAGATTGAAATTATGATAGTTAGTACATCCTCAAGATAAGCTTGTAAGATTATTTAGCTACTTCAAAGATTTCACGGCTAAAACAATGTCCTTTTTTGAAGTCCAAAAGATAGTGGGATCAGAGCTGATCTGATTTAACCGGCTACTTTCTTGTGAGTATCTGGATTCTGGTTCTGAGACTGGTTTTTCGTTGATTGATTATTCTGCTTTGTTTTGATTATTCCATTCTTGACTCCTGTTCTTGAATTTACTTCTCAAATAGCCGAGTGTTAAGTATGAGTTTTACATATAACACCTACAAAAAGTTCTCCTTTACCTTCAAGTTCTTAGGTTCTGGTACCCTCCAGATCTGTATCCAAAAATAATATATTTGCAAATTCAGCTACACACTGCATTCGATGTGCCCAATTGAGCAATCTGGGTAATAGAGTTTATACGAATCCATCAGATATGCCCGATTTTCAGCGGGCTTTTCGACAATTTGTCTTAATTTGTGCATAGATATTGATTGCATATATGCAAATTCCGAGCGTTACAGAAATTGCGCCACACCTTGGCTCACACAGATACGAATTCTGCTGGGTGTGTGTGTGTGTGTGTCCGTTCTTCCGTTAGCAGCTGTTGCAAGATATTTCAACGGTGTCTGCTCATTCGGTTCTTTGGCTCTTTTTTTACCACAGTATCATTTCGAGGTTTCGTTTGTGTTTTTTTCCTTTTTTTGGCATTGCTCAAGTTGACAACGCTGCCTGCGATTGCGATCGCTTGCCCCATTTTGTGGCACTTGTCTCCCTCGTGCCCGGTGTCCCGGTTTTTCACCCGAAGTTGTTTTCTGGCTTCTCAGCCTGAAAACGTACATATATAAAGAGGCAAACAACAAAACGGACATCGACATGGGCACAAAAACCAAAAAACTAAAAAATTATAAGAAGGAAAATACGAAATGTTTTTGTTTTTATGTTCTGCAGAACATTTTCGCTATTAAAAGTGACACTCGGATTGCCCGCGGTATAACATTTTTCCCTCTTTTTTTCGTAATGCGATATGTGACCGATGTTATTCCGCTTTTTAGGGTCAGGCCGTGTAAATCACGTAGCGGATATGGGGAAGCGAACTGAGCGCGGCAACTCGCACATTTATTAGATAGCCAAAGTGCTGTCCATATCTCTCCGTCTTTCGGCCTTTAATTGTGTTTCTAAGCCAAGTGCCGAGACGCGCGACCTTTTCCAGGCCCCCGGCCGAACTACGGTTACGGTTTCATCACGGCTCCATAAAACGAATCCGAGGCACAGAACTCACCAGCGATCCATGTGGGCTGGGGCTTTGGATTTTGGGTTTGGACTCGGGTTTCATAACCCCAGCTGAGGCAACGTGCCGCGCTTTTTGCGCATTTCCACGAAGTTCATAAACGCTGCACTTAAACCAACAGCATTTTCGCCAGAAAACGTATATTTTTCTAAACCTATAGGGTTGGGAAATATTGGACGCTTGTGTGTTGAAACAAATGTTTCTAAACCAAATTGAAATCTAAATCTAATTATTAATTACAAACTTGTTAATAGAATTATATAACAGCAGTTACAGTTTTTAAAATGTACTCAACGTAGCACAACATTGTGTAAGAGTAAAGTTCAATATTGACTTTGTCTAGTTATAATATGTTAACTATCTGCAGGCAAAAACCCGTTTCTATGCCAAATTAAATTATAACATTTTTAAAGAGCGCCCATGTTTTATTGATGAATGAATACTGTTTTGCCAAATGGTATAGGCCCATTAAAATAAAATAACATAAAATAGAGCAAACCGAGATTGAATTCGAAAACCAAACTGGATTTTCTGGAACCTAAGCTCCGAATCCGAGCTGCTGACTTACCTCCAGGGCAGATCGGCACCAGGAGAACCATCGTTCGCCTTCTCTCCGTCGCTGCGATAGTAGCTGTATATGGGATAAGGACTATTTTGGGAGGCGTTGGGATCCTGATGCAGTTGATCCGGATCCTCGTTCAGTTGGATCTCCGCGGCAACGGCCTGCATCAAGCCCGCAGCCGTGAGGTGGTGACCATGGTTACCATGGCTATCATGGTGATCCTGATGGTGGCTCAAGGGCAAGCCCAATGCCTGATCCTTGACCTGGTCAACTGGGCTGTAGTAGTGGTGGAGTAGCTGCTGGTGCTGATGCTGCGGCTGGTGCTGCTGCTGGTTATCGCCTTCCACGTGCGCCGGGTGCAGTGAGTCCAAGCTGAAGCCTCGCCTGTTTGCGAGGGGGGTTTTTAAAATTCAAACTGGGCGTGGCAGAAAGTGAAACAGTCGCCGACAACGCCCATGTGCGAGCATTTAGTTTTTGGCAATCCAGCATCATTAGCATTTCCATTTCTATTTATTTACTATTTACATAATCAATTTCGGGCCAGGTGCGTCCGATGATATCGATGTGTGTGTGGTTGTGTGTGTGCGTCTCAGTTACGGATTTGTAAGTTTTGCGGCAACTTTTTACTGCTTTCGGCATCGGAATTGATTCGTTTAGCGCTATTAGCGCCATCAAATAAGACAGAGAAGAAAAAAAAGAAAACAAAGAGCTTGGGCCGAAAAAAAGCGTCAATTTTTTGTTAACACTTTGCCCCGCCCCTGGACGCCGGTTAGCCCCCCTTCACAGCCGCCCCTGTACTCTGCAAGTGGTCCGCAGCAGTTATTCACTAATTATTTATTTCCCATGAAGCTTTTTTCACACCCGGTACTGCAGAATGCACGGGTATGCTTGGCTATTTCACATTTATGCAATAGGAAAAGGAAGTGCTTCCGACTTTAATGGACTTATAAATGCCATATAGCCTAAATCTGATTAAAATCCGACTTACATTAGCAAATTTAATCAAGAGACTTTATCAGGCGCGCACTTTGGAGTTTAAAGCCCTCAGACTTTGTATTACAAAAGTATGCTAAGAAATTTGGAAATACAATAAGTGCATTGTTTGACTCTTCAAAAGGTAGAGAGATAAATGTGTAAAGAGGATGAACAAAAGATTTTAAAACGATGATTTAATATTCACAAGGTAGTACCCATTCGAACCCTTCGATTTCGTAACATTTTCCTAGATTTTTTTGGGCTAAGTGCATGGATTGCGAACCCGTGATTAGGCCGACACCTCGGCCACTCGTCCGCCTCCTTGGCAACTCCCGTCGCGCGGTCCAATTGTGCAACAAGTAGCGAGCAGTTGGCGAAAACAAAAACACAACAAACGCCGAGGAGCACAACCCTAAATGGCAACCAGAATTGGCGAGGAATCGCATGAGTCGCATGCGGAATCGAATGGAAAAGGAGGCAGCACTGCTGTGGTCTCGATGGCAATCTCGGGATCTCGGAATTTCGGAATCTCGGAATCGCGAAATAGCGATGGTCTCGGATCGGGGCTTCCAGCTCGGCCTGGGAAGTGCTGGCCCAAGGCAAGGTGATCGCCGGGTACTTTCGGGGCCGCCAACCGGTTCGCAGGATCCGCGGCAGCTGCCCTACCAACGTGCTCAAACTTATATATGTGCATACGTATATGCCTAATCCCAAGACGCGGCGGCCGTAACGGTTAAGGAAATCATTATTGATATTAGCTGAGGTTCGGCGAGAAGACAACGCAGCTTGCTCGGACACCGTCCGAGGAAGATAAAGGACGAGCCAGCGATCAAGTCCTCCCGAGGGCGAAACAAAGGAG